CGATATAACTTCAGTGTCCATTTCAGCTGTCTCGGTGATTGAAAAGAAGGAGGAAGAGGTGATGGAGGAAGAGGAGGCAATAGAATGTGAAGAAAATTGTAAGTGCCGCATGTTGCAGATTAATCCTGCGCAGTCGGCAGTGAGCTGAGGCACGAAGTCACCGTTAGCACGTACCTGATAAAAGCATATATCTCTTGCTGATATTTTTTCTATAAGTATTTCACAGATTTACATGTCTAAACTGTCAAAGGTTCACATAAAATATAATCTTACATTAGCGTGCTACTAACAGATTACTTGTTTGACGCATCGAAACCTCTGTATAAGTTAGTGAATTGTTGATCACAGTTGATAGGAATCCATTTGTTTTGAAAAACAAATATCAAATACACCTTGTCATAAACCGCAAGGTAAAACAAAGTATACGCAGGATTTTCATCGTAGCTAAAATGAAAGCAAGCAAATGATTTGTGGATGGTGGGGTGATGTTGGATACGGATATCGATGTTTGATACGGATGTGTTTGATACGGACATCGATGTTTGATACGGACATCGATGTTTGATACGGATATCGATGTTTGATACGGATATCGATGTTTGATACAGATATCCGGATATCGATGTTTGATACGGATATCGATGTTTGATACAGATATCGTAGTTTTTGAAGTGTTTCGACGGCTGTTCAAACTTATAATGTTTCCATAACGTTTGTGATATTTTGGTCAAGTCCAAGTTTGAAGAATATACTTTTTACCCCGGCAGTTTACTGTTTACAACCTTAGAACCAAACTACATATAAAGAAAAAAAATAGGGGAAAATAGTAATATTTCTTAGCATGCGGAATGCATAACAAGCATAAACGTAAAAAACACAGCATTTGTGGATGGCCACTATGAACACGCAAATGTATTATTTAAAGGGGCTCTTTGGCTTACTAAATCATAAGCATCAAGTTAGTGTATAACAAACGTCTAATGTGTTTTGATATATGTAATTCTGACAGTTATGCATAATACCACTGTGACACCAATGATGAACAATTTACTGTAAACATTCGTCATTTTGACAGAAAGAGTACCTCCATATTTTTAGCAACATATGCCTTCCGAGAATACTCTCTAAAGCATTGTTATCTCAAATCTGTCAAACTACCATAAATTGAAAATCAGTTAACACATTTATGTATGTATCCGAACCTGAGTTCGAGTGGTTTTAAACCGTAACCGGTTACCCGATATTTGAACATATTGTATACGGCAGTGAGAAATATCAGGTTGATGGATGTGAAGCAGGTGATGCATAATTCTACAGAGATGATAAATGGTCTTCATACATTAAAGGCTAATTTAACTCTTAAACCATGCAGCTAATGTCACTTTTACCAGTATTGTCAGAAACTGTTACAAAAATACAGTATTTCTTTTCAGAATCGTCGGCAACATCTAACTCTAAACAATTATACTGTTATGTTCCACCACATTATATCACAGTTATAATGAAAAGGCATAGAAATCTATCACGAATCATATAAGACTTTCCGAATTATTCAAAGGATAGGAAAAACCGTAATTAAAAATGTACGTTTTACAACAATATTCTTGTGTGTTGGTATCTAAAGAGAAAAGCATTGAATTGCCAGTGATACAATTTATGTCTGAGTTTAGGTTCCAAGATGCGTGTACAAAATAGCATGCGATAAAATCTCAAAGCAAAATTTAAATGGTGCCGAAAACACACAGTGTGGCATAATTTTGTGCAATTGATTAAGATCATTAATTCTTTTTACGTGTTATCAAATAAAACTAGTAAGGAAGTCATTGGAATGATAACCATTCTGCCATTCTTGAATATCATGTCATTAATATTATAATCACTTTCCTATTTTGTATTGGGAATTTAAACGTCAACAGTGCTTATAAATACAGATTTAATTTACTGACAATTGTTGTCTTAATTCATACAAAAAAAATCAGTATTGTGTATTCTTACCATGGTCGTGAATGGCTTTCCAAAAACGACTGGATATTTAGTCCCGATCTATCAAGAAAGGTATGAAGAAGTGAAATTAAGGTTTATCATGAAAAGTATTTTCGATTCTGTATCAAAAGATACCATCCTTTTCTGGGAAATGTTTTGATTCTGTAAAGGGAATATCCGACGTTATGAAATGTTTTTATCGTATGAAAAAATGAAGTTTGATTATGGTAAGTGTTTCCGATTCTACCTTAAGACTGAGCATCCTTTTAAGGGAAGTTTTCGTGTTTTATAAAGGGAATTCTCGAAAATATGAAATGTTTTATCGTACGAAGAACTGAAGTTTATGATGGTAGGTGCTTCTGATTCGGCATAAATATTTAGCGTCTTTTTTTCAGAGACGTTTTTATATTATACAGAGGGAATTCTGGTCTTATCAAAATATTACAATGTATGAAAAGGTGAGGTTCGCCATGACATTTGTTATCTGTACCGATAATTACCATTTTTAGGGAAGTTTTTAGATAATATACAGGGAATTCCCAATGATATGACACGCATTCACTGTACGAAGTTTATCCTTGAATCAGTTTTTGGTATTCTACTTCAACATTTAACATCCTTTATAAGAGGGTATTCCTGATAATATAAAATGATTTCATTGTGTTAAAAAAGTGAGGTTCACCATGGATTCCTAACTGACAATTACCACCTTTTTATGAGAATCCTTTAGATTATATACAGGGAATTCCCAATGATATGAAACGCTTCTACTCTACCAACTTCATCCCAAGTCTAAACATTGATTACTCTCTTTTCCTGTTGACTGGGTTCCGTCCTATTGCGCAACTTAGCACAATACCAGTCTAGAATTTTGAGACTTATTCATTTATCTGGATTCATAAATATTAATCAGTATTATTTGATACATCTAAGCACTTGTATATTGCAACACTACGCTCCTTATAACCCTTGCAAACATGTCGTGCAGCGTGCTCTGTCGTGCAGCGAACTCTGACAAACAGAAACCTTGAAATCGTGGAAATCTCAAAACGAGGCTCGCCGCTAGAAAAGTTTGGCGGTCTGGTACGGACTTGATATTATATCAATCACATTGTACGTTACAGAACTACACTGAATAAGCTCAAAAAAACACATAACAGGCGTAACCAGTGAGCCAAATGCATTGTGAATCATTTTACGCCCTCATCAAACTGGGGCGGTCTGTGACGTCATAGTTAATGTCATGCTGCCTACACCTCGCCATAAAATATAGAAATACGATGTTATTAAAGTTTAAAATTAAAATTCATTTGTAAATACCATCTTTTAATGAAACCAGAAATTGGAATTCAGCGTAACCATAGGTGTTTGTGATGTCTATTTTCACTTTCACACGAGAAAATTCGGATCGGCTGAAAAGGTCATTGTCTGAATAGGTTAATCAGACTCATGTTTCGGTTTGAGCATCTATTTTCGATTATGTATTAATATTTAGCATCTTTTTTAAGGAAATGTTTTAAAAAATTACAGAGGTAATTCCTGATAATATAAAATGATTTCATTGTGTAAAAAAGTGAGGTTCACAAAGGATTCTGAACTGGTAATTACCACCTATTTATGAGAATACTTTAGATTATACACAGGGAATTCCCAATGATATAAAACGCCTTCACTGTATGAAGGAGTGAAGCTGAAGTTCATCATAGCATCTGTTTCCGATTCTGCATTAACAATTAGCATCCTTTTTAAGGGAATGTTTTAGATTTTTAGAGTTTTGGCTTTTCTCTCCCATGTTGACAGACTCCACCACAGGTCTCAGCTTTATAGTTGCTCAGCTGTGTGTGAGGACTGCGGAAGGGGGTCAGGGATGGGGGGATGGGGCGTTTGTAGAGCGCCGACTGTCAATGTTTCAATATTGTTAGTATTTATTCTGTAATAACAGACACGGGTTGATTGCTATTTAAGTATTTGTTAAAAGGTTGAAACAGTAAGTTACGTTTAAATGCTCAGTGCTGTGGTAATTGATATTGACTTGACTTCCTGGATGTAATTTTATTTTTAAAAAGTATAAATTAAATTTTAAAGATTTTCAATCGTGTTTTATTCAAATATTTTAAACATTTGTTTCGTATTTATGTCTGTGCGGTATAATCAAATAGTGTCCTTTTAGGGACAGGTGGAATGTGGGACAACGGTTATAAGTGTAGTGTGTAAGCTTATGTTATAAGCGGAGCGATTGTATTGAGGTGTATGTGATAACTACAGCCCTCTTTCTCCCTGCTATAGGGGCAAGGGGCTAGTGCAGGGGGTATTGCATATCGTCCGCTGGCAACCGTCTGTCATGAATGCCCTTCGGCTGACGTTAATATTGTAGGTTTTTCTCAAGTGTAATGTTCACATCATGAAATGTTCTCTATTATTCTCTGCAGGTAGTTATTTATAATGTCGGGGTGTCACATTCGCACCCAACGACCCACAAACTCTTGGTAAATATTCATAGGCAGAAGTTAAAAGACCCTATCTATTTTCTATTGAGGCATAGCACGACAAAAGTAACAGTATCATCGCGGAATAACAAACAGACCACACACCCGGCTCCCACCCCCACGCCTGGCGCTGTGTCCCCGAGTCACCCGAGATCCAGCTGTAGAGACCCGCCCCCTCCCACCGTGCTAACACACCCAGTGTTCCTGAACCGTCTAGGCCCATCCCGCTTAACCTTAAGGCCACGGTCAAGTCGTCGCACTCTCCATAAGCGGGGTAATTACCCGGCTCTCAAGACAAACTCGCTACACCTGGAACCCACAGTGAAACCCCACGTAGGGTGAGGATAGCCACAGCTTTCTTCAAGCCCGGGTAAACAAGTAATCTACCAGGGTGAATAGACGGTACGTGCGCAAACAGTTGTAGACACCATAACGCACACACGGGTAGAAAACACCCCCCTGAGGGACACGCCATGGATATACAACCCGGTTAACACCTCTTGAACCCCAAATATAACAAAACAAAAAACCCATTTCTCTAGAGACTTAATTTTATTTCGTTGTATCTAAATATAAATCCATTCAAGTTCAACATATATACAAAATATACACAAACATGTTTTAATAAAATAAGGCACAGTTTAATCTTTGGGTTGTGTCTTCGAGACTCTTGTGCCCGGTCCCTCAAAGCGCAGCGTGGTCAGTCAGCTGCTTGACTAGTCTAGGGTTATAATTAAATAAAAATGTGTGGAATGATGGGTCCTCGCTTGTCTCAGGTTTGTCATTCAACTGATGGAATGAGTTAGTGTGCTTGATTTAAGTACGCTTTAGCCTGGAGTGTCTCCGCTAGGCCATGTCCAAATGCTAGCAGGACAGCGTGTGAAGCAGAGGTGTCTATCCTTCTTCCCTAATTACTCTGCCCTGCAATGCGACAGTGCCAGGGCAGCCCCTCGCTATTTGCCCTCTGGTTCGTCTCTCGCTGTCGGCAACGGAATATCAACACAACAGCCGTAACGATATGTTTGCCAAGAACACCTGTTCAAATGGCTGGTTGACCGGAGCTCCATAGCGCAGTGTGATCGCCACACCAATCACTTTGTCTACTGCACAGCAGTCTTCACGAGGAATGTAGCCAGGCTTTTGCCTTACTGGAGGTATCTAACTCGCCGTGCACGGCTCCCCGTCCAACACACACACCTACCCTGTCTTTAACAGCTCTTTATGAAAGGGCTGTGTGGCAGCCTAATATTGTCACACATGCGTCGTAGTTGACACCGATGGAGTGGGCGGGGGGCTGGTATCGCTGTTGATGACACGATAACTTTCCTGCATATTACATAGTCACTTCCTAAAGAACACTCTACCAGGCACTTAATGCACAATCGTAGTCGACGCGGCGGCGTGTTTCCATTCGGTGCCTTCAATAACCACGTCGGTTGTTGAACATGACGTCCACGTTTGGCTTTTTCTGGGTGGGGTGCCGGCACATGAACTTGACCTATATCACAGTAATGTATTTGTTGTATCTATCCCTGAATCGGTCATAATGGAGGTGGGGTCAAGGGGCTCCAGTTGGACCGTGGCGCGTTCTCTCTTGACGAATATGAGGATATATCGCACGGGTGCTCAAAGGATGGTTGTGAGGCGACCGTGGTGGCCGTAGGGGGCACGGAGGAGATGCTCGTGACGGGCGTTGAGGACCCTGGGAGGGGAGTAGGGAGCGGTTGTCCTCAAGTAAGGCATGGAACAGTTCTGATTGGGAGACAGGTTGCCCACAGCAGAGCTCATCCACATCCCGTATTGCCCCTGGGGTGGTGCGCTCTGTCCCGCTAGCATCCCGTGACTCCCCGCTGCAGACATGTGGGCCCAGTTCTCCGTCAGGTTCAACATGGGAAGGTTGGCGCTAACATCTCGACTGAAGTTACCTGCAATAATAATAAAAATAACAATAACACAAATGATAACAATAACAGTTTAAGACGATGGAACACAAACTAGAATATACAAACATGACGTAACAGCTTACATTCTTTGCCATAGAAATATTAGGTTCCTGGGAATATTTCCAACCTTATTCAGTCTGTAGGTCAGTATGCATAAAGATAAAGATTATAAACCAAAACGAATAACACTACCATTTCAACGATGCATGTGACCCTTTACAAGTCAAGCACGTTGGTTGGTGAGGGCGTGTGTATTTTCAGCCCAATAGACCAAGTTATAAATTTCAAAAGCTCAAAAGCAAAATAATCCTATTACTACACTCACTCTTAGTACTAAGCATTAATTATTCATTGGCAGTTGGTCTTCGGCTTAAAACAGTTATTAACCAATAATGAATATTAATAGATTATTGAACTAGTTATCTGAACGAATACGGCACAGGAAAGAGGATCGCGAAGTTTATATTGTTGGGAGGGGTGAAATAACATAAACATTCTAAAGATTCATAGACCTTTTTAACGTTATAATTTAGTATATAATACCAGTCGAGTCCATTAAGTAATGCCTAATGGTCAGATTATTTGTGTCGTAAATAATTAATTTTCACAGCAATTGTGTGTGTGCGTGTGTGTTTGTGTTTGTGATTCTCTTGACATCAGCATGCCGTGACCCAATGCTAACTGACATGTTATACGAGGTTAGGTCACAGATAACAGTTACCGCGATGACCGTGGTCGGTGACTAAACCCGGTCACGTCCAAAGCGTCCGGGCGTGACTGTCACGAGGCCATTGTTGTCCATGACGGAAACTGTTACGTTGTTCCCTCCCCCGACTGCCACAGTCATGTCGTGACCGACACAGTGACGTGACTTTGTCGTGACGACATCGACGGTCTCCCTGCTCGGAGACATCGCGGTCAGAGGGCCACGTGACTCAGGGGTGGGACAGAGCTAGGGGGCTGGGACGGGCAGATGACCCCTGGCCGTGTGTGTATCACCGTCAAGCGTAACATTGTTACTGACGCTCGGCTGGACCCCCGTCACGTGATGGTCAGCTCTCGACTGTGGCGTTTGCTCATTGAATGACCAGCCCAACACCGTGGGGAAGTAAATAAATTGACGTGTTGAAATTCGCGATATTTCTATTTTTGTTTTAGCTGAGTGTATTTCGTGGCTGACGTAGGTTTCCCCAGATTGAGATTAATGTAGCTGGGTGACAGTTGACGGGAGAGCGCCATGCCATTGATACAGTTACCGCCGTACATCACGCAATGACCATATTGGTATTGGGGAGGGGAAATCAGCTGCTTGCTGGTCACGTACGAAAACTTGGGACATGAATGACTGTCGAATCCAAACAGTAAATATCTCACAAAGACACACATTCAAATAAACCAAATTAGAATGTTGTCCATTCAAGATGCGTGCTACTCATGTTTCACAGTCAACATTGTTGCAATTGTCAGCGTAAACTGGGAGTAGAACTGACCAGTGGTTCGTCAAGGGCGAGGGATAGGTGAACCGAATATTCAGTTCTACTCGACATATACGAAAAAACTTATTTCCAACTCTGTGTAAAATAATTGATAAAATGGTATATCATTGTGACTAGAAATAAAAAAAACCATGTCCGTTTCTGTATTATTCTGCAATATTTATTCTTGATGAACCACAGAGCGTAGCCATATTTGCTAAAAACAAAGTAAACAAGAAATGACAATTCGATGGTAGTGATTTGAGATTTGTATTTTATGTCATGGACCTTGCACTGTTTCGTCAATTATTGTCAAAATTATAGTTATTTTCAGAAGCTAACTTTCTGATTACGTTTGTTTTGATCAAATGGATTTTTATACTTTCATTTTCGCTTATTTAGAATTCGTCTTAAGTTAACATAGTTTTACAACAACCCAAATACTACATTATATAGTTAAGCGTGCTTTCTTTTTTCGTTTATTTCGAATGAGTTTAATTCGTTTTAATTTGTGATGGTTTTTCAACAACCAAAATGCTACATTATAATATAAGTGTAGTTTCTTTTTCGTTTATTTCGAATAGTGTAATTCGTTTTAACTAGTGATGGTTTTAACAACAACCCAAATGCTACATGAAGGAGAGGAAACCATATTGTGAAAAGGGACTATTAACCTAATGGGGCATTTAAGAAGATTGCGTCTTAATAGATTTTCCTGTAGTCTGTTTTTGGTAAGAAATCATTTAACGTTTAACGCATGCATAGAACTAACAGAATTTCTGCATGTTTGAAACTATCCCCGTCTTCTTGGACGTTTTTTTTTTTAAAAATACATTTTCACCCAGAAAAACAAAGACTCCTTTTGCTTGGTTTTATCGAAGGAATGCATCAATAATTGTACTTCCTAATATATTCACGAAATTACTAGATTAAAACAGGAAAGATATTATTTGATTACAATATCAATGGATGAATGTAAGATATTTGATCAATAAAGAATTGACATTATTTATATCTGGAACTCTTTCACGTCAAATTTAGCGCAAAAGAAATCAATACCATAAATATTTACTTTCATATTTCTTTTAAAAGCTTCAAGAAAATTAAAAATATTATTTTATTATTATATTTCAGGAGTGCTTACTGATCCAGCGCTTAAGGGAAAACCTTCTCCAATGATGTAAGTTTGTCAAGCAAATAAACTAATAAAATAGAATCTTTATCTGAGGACGTAACAGTTCTTCAAGTAAATGTTTATAGGTAACAGCCTTCAGGTACCAGAGGTTAATCCAATAAGACTTGACGCCCAATTTCTTTATATTCATTGAAATCCCTCAAGTGAAGGTAGAGTTCTAAAACTTGGTTTTACCATTCCTATATATTCCGCAAGTGTAGGTTTATTTTAAAAAAAATATGAGTTCTCAGAGATTTCTCAATTTAACGTATCAATTTAATGTCTCATCTTTTTCGGTTTCTTCACTTAACGGTGTATATTCAAAAAGTAAAAGTTGTAGACTCATTAAGAAACGGTTTCAATTGAGTATTAATTCTTGAGTTTCCTGAAGTACAGGTTTATATCCATGCTAATATCCAAGGTATATATGACGCCATGTCCATGATAACGTCAGACACATTGGAATAGTTGCCATCCCCTTTAACCTAGTTACATAAACCCAACAATAGGAGCACCCAGGTCGGAAGGTTACTTTTCTCATTTTTACCATCAAATATTTGTGTTGTGGATAAGCAGGTGTAAAACAACATGATAAATATTGGTGCTCTGAAAGGTAAGTATTTATTTTAAAACAGCTAAGAGAGATACGTTTCTTTACGATATAGCGTGCATGCAAGAAAACGTCCACTTACTGTGAGGGGGTGAGCGCCTTTGGTACGGATGACTGTAGGGGGACGGGCGAGGGTTCCTGAGGGTGAGGCGTTCACAGTGAGGGTTGGAAAGACTCAGCGGATTGGCAAACTGGTGAGCAGGAGGGGGTACCAGCGCGTGACTACCGGGGGGAAGGTACCAGGTGCCCGTTACTGAAAATAAATATTCAATAATTATTTAACAATCAGTTTTAGACTGAACCGACGTTTTCAGAAATATTACCAAGAACTAGGTGCTCTTCATCAGAGATGAAGTTGAAGCTGCTGCTTCTGTGGCTCTTACCAAAGGTGTTGTAGAAGAAGATGGGTGACAGTTATCATCGATTAAATAGATAATATGCAGCCCTGTGGGATTAGCTGTTTGTGTTGTGTGCATTTTGCACATTGCACACGTGGGATGCCAGAGAGTTTAGGAGTGGGCGGTGGTAGAAGAGAGCGGTTTATCACTAGGCTTTGCTGCGCAGCTGCAAGCCGACAAAATCTGGTAATATTGCACTAGTTGGGGTAATACACGTGTGGTCGACAAACACAACAACTCGCATTCTTTTGGAAAGGTGTTACTCTTCCAGAAATTTGTTTTCAAAAACCAAAAAGTCTTGCCGCTGACAAAGCTTGGTGAGCAGAGGTGTCGACGGAGCTCTTCAAATTGTGCGATTTTGACAGTTTGGCGCTGATCACGTGACGCGCAGCTGATCATATTGGTTGCAACGTTGACACTTCCGTCTCGAGAAAGAGTTCCCAGAGGGAATCGCCAAAATCCCTCCGCCTGTTGAAAGAGTTCTTCGTCTGCGAGATGGAAATCCCTCCGCTGTGTGCGTACGTGCTTCGCTAGTGTTCGCCGACAACTAGTGTCATTAACAATGCTTATCGAAATTGAGCTGAGATTTAGGACGCTCCAAGCTTGATAATCAGACCTTTGAAAACCCGTGTGAGTAGATGAGATAGCGTATAATTTATTGATAGGCTGTTGGGAGAGTTATCACAAATACTTCACAATTACGTGACAAAATAGGATAAACTGTTAGAGTATTGTGTAGGGTAGGCAGGCTGCATGTTGTCAGACTGGGTTCTTCACACCTCCGCACGATAAGTGTGGACGCCCGTCTACCCCCAGTCGCACGGTCTAACCTGGGTAGGCAGTCTATATAGATCACAACACATGTTCCTTACCGGCGGCCGGTTGTGGACGCTCGTAGTCCATTGTGTCCGAGCCTGCTCTATCGCTAAGACCATATATAACTGTAACAAATCACACCACTTCAACTTCTGAGGAGCGGCTGGTTTGACACGCAGGTGCGAATGTTGTAAGAAATTGAAATTAAAATGACAAAATAAATTACCTCAGTCGTTCACTAAACGTTAAATCCACTTACACGGCCACGGAGTTGGGTATTGCTAACGCGATCAAACCTGGCTACCTTTACACTGCAGATAAACACGTGTTATACTTACAGTGTGATAAGGATCGAGAACCATCCCCTTCTTCAACGAAGTCCCTCTCATTGGGCCTGAAACAGGGAAGACTGATTTCATAAGACATTGGATTCATGGACGTATGAAACAGTTAATGATTGTCGACGTTTTCTGATATTTCATCTCTTGTTAAGGAAGGATAACAGTATATGCATGGACAGCTTCTTTATTACAGTGTTAGAACCTACACCGAAACATTGCTCTCATTGTAATAAAGAAGTTGTTCATCCATATATTGTCATCCTTCCTCAATACTTCAACTTCTAAATGCCGCACAAAGAAGTCATCTCGTCCTACATGTTATTAAGCTTGTCCATTTTCTGACAGACCTATGTGACATAGTTTTATAAAGGAATTGTAGCATAAAATCGTGAAATTGTCTATAAGACCATGACAAAATAACCATTTCACTAAGTGAAGAGATGACTCGGGAGATGCTATGCCAAAATGATCACTTCACTGAGTGGTCCATAGTGAACTATTGAGAAATGCCCAAATGATCACTTGAATGGTTTATCCATAGTGAATAATAGAGAAATGAGTCGGAAGAAACTATAACAAAATGATCACTTCAATGAGTGCTACATAGTGTGAACTATAAAGAAATGAGTTGGAAGAAACTGACAAAATGATCACTTCACTGAGTGGTTCCATAGTGAACTATATCAATCCTGTTGTACCAGATAATGTCCCATGGTTGTATTCTACATTTAAGGTGTCCATGTGGAGAGGAAGATAGGCTTCCCCCTTGCCCTCCCACTCCCCTCCCGAACGCTGCGTTTTGTCGTGGCAAACACGAGCACCTGTGTTTGAGGTAGTTCTCTATGTTGAACATGCGCCGCATACACACGAAGAGCAATCAGCAACATTAAACGTGCGACAAACAATCCAAGCCTAACCCGTGACACTTCCCTCATCTCTAGCCGGGAGAACCAACACATATTGTCCCTCTCTCACAACAATAACCCCTCTCAACCGAAAAAGGCATCCTTCTCTGACCCACGGGATTCCGCTCCTGTGACCCAGAGGCATATCACCTGGATTCACTATATAACTAGCCGTCTTTAAACCCTACCTCCACCCAGGTACTACTCTCACATACCCGGTTAACCATCCTACACTATCCATCCTTATACAGCACCCATCATACTTCAACTTTGTAATGTTGTAAGATAGTGCTTGGTGCTCAGGAACATAAGGACTGGCCGCTCGGAGTTCCTGTACCAAGTGTGGTTTCAGTGTTAAACTGATGCATGGATCCCTAGTGCTATACGACTTGGTACAATCACATAGACATCACATCGATAAGAGTGAACTAATTTCATGTAGCTCACACCACCGCGTACTATAAACCTGCAATGTTTCACTAGAAACGCAGATTCCAATTGGCGTTTACATCCTTTGGATGTAAAACAGGCATCCAATTCTGCCTTGACCAGTTGATCGTTCAAATTTAAGCAACATACTGAGTTTTCACATATGTAAAGCAATTAAATAAGACACAGTACAATTCACAGATACAATATCAAGAACTATTGAAACTGTCGTGCCTGGTTTAGAATGAAGATCTTGAAGGTTAATTTTACTTTAATTCTGCAAAATCTATGACCTATTTCATGTATTGCACAGTAACAAATCTCAAAATGTCTGAATTTATGAAGGAATCTTCCGCTGTTTAAAACGCATTACCACATTTCATGCATTGTTCTTGGACAAAATATACATATTCAAAATTTGGAATTGGTTTGATCTGTAACGACGTGCTTAGGAACTATTTTTCGGCTATGCAGATATACGAAGTATTATGCTATCACTGCTGGTGGGTTTAAACTGCCATGGTAGAATACTCTCGGAACAGAATCTCACTTCCATGTGGGCTTCAACCTCCTTGATACTTTTATATAATTTGTTTATTTAAGCATTTGAAAATTTATAGTCATCCGCTTTAGGATATCGAGCTCCCGAATCCCGTTAGATAGTACATCTGACGTCCACATGTAATCTAAGAAGGATTATTACTAGGAATCAAACATTACCAAAGAATTGGGATAAATGTTGACCTACGATCCTCTATCTTATCTACAGTGTCAGAGCACCTGCCAATCAGACCAGCATCCCGAAGAAGCTGACGGGAGGCTATAAGGAGGCTGAATGAGGCCGAGAGGAGCCAGATTACTTAATCCAAAAGGATGCTGTTTGGCCCTAGACCACGCTCGGCACTCAGATTTACCTAACTCGTCGGTCAATTCTTACGTGGCTCACCCAAATATAAAAAGAGATTTAAACATGTCGCCTACAAACAAGCAAGTCTGCCTGTTGAGATGAAGTTTAAATTTCCTATTAGCGGCCTGTTCGAGCCTAGCAAATCTGTCCCTCACCTCTCTTTGGCGTCCAGGAATGCTTTGGCAAATGGGTTGTGCTTGATCTTCAACGCTGTGATCTGAAGTAGGATAACACTTATGTTAAACAATTAGCTAGAAAATAATGCGTTTTCTTGATTTTTGGCTTTCTGTAATGCTATCACAAAACGTTAGTTTACTGGCAAAGATTGCATTTTTGTATTAGTGATATTTTCATCGTTAATGAAATTTTGATGAAGAACTATGCAAGTGATGTATATCAAGGACCCGTGTGACAGTCCCACTGTGAGGTAAAGATCATCATCTCACACGTGTCTAACACTTAAAACCTCAACGAAAACAAGATATCAATGATTCTTTCACAAATCAAAATGTGATTATTTTACAAAGTAAAATGATCCTTTCATGGTTTTTGAACTATGACCTATAAGGTTCCTTGACATGAAATGAAATTTACTAAAATGTCTATGAAAAATATCATACTCCGGCCATGGAATATATGATTCTTTGGATAACGTCTTCTATCGCACTCTATGAATCTTTGCTAGGATAAATTTTAGAACCTGACATATGATTCATATTTTCTTTGACGATGAAATATGTGATTGTTTCAGTATTTAATGACGTACCTCCTCGTTCTGGTAAGCCGTCACGGCGATGAACTGAGTCTCTGGGAAGCTGAACGTCATAATGCTCTTTTTCTGTGTGCGAGAGTTGACACGCACAATATGAAGACGGGGCTCGTACTTGTGAAGGGAGTTTAACATAATCTGGAACAAAACACGTACCAATATTAATACGGAAAAGGATTTGATATCAGCAAGTCGTTTTCAATCAGCCAATGGTCAACGGATTTGCACAAGATGTCCATGTGTTGAAGCTTTTTGATTGCATAGTAAAGCTTTTTGTATATAAAAATATATATGATACATATATTGTGGAGACTTTTATAATTTATTCTGAGCATTTACACCGTTTTGCATGACAGTGTATTTAGGAGAATAGAGTATGGCAGTTTGACCAAACCTTTTTGAAGTAGTCTCTATTACGATTGATGACCGAGGTATACTTTGTTAACTTAAAAAACTCAGTGAGCTCCTTCTGTATGAACTGGAATGTTGGTGGGTAAGTAAACATATACTGGTTGTAGTTTATCAACAGAATTTAATCTAATGAGATTGTATTTTCAGTATCTTTCGCCGTTTTTTCGGAGGTGAACAGTTAACCCATAACCATTTAGATGTCGCTTTTATAATGTCCTAAGATCAACTTTAACACAGTTTTGATTTGACATGAAATGTATTTTAAGGAATTTCTAATCGGGTCCCTGGCGTCCTAGCTGTGCTCGTGCCGTGACAAGTCATTAACTGTCTGAGTGGACCACCCGGGGCGCCCATCCGCCTCAATCAATGCCACGCTTGTAATATACCCCCACCCTGACAGGGGCGTCAGTATCAGCGCCGACATCACCGATGTCGGTACAGCGTGGATCAACCATCACATCACCGCTGTCAGGACACAGCGACTAGATGGCATACTGATATGGAACATTCACTGTCAATGTCGCAGACCCACTTCTTTACCCACAAGTTTGAAGTGAAATCAACGTCATCTTCATTCCAGAGACAACCTACTACAGGGATCTTATATCTTGAACGAGATTCATTTTCTGTCATTGTGTCGTTTGTCATTAATACAAGTTAAATGTACAATGGTCAATGACGTAGCTACCATGGTGACATCGACGTCACCTGACGTCAGTCATATGACAACTGTCACACTGAAACTGTCACATGACCATCGTCACTGAAGTGCTATTGACAAGTATTTGACAAACATCAGTATCTGCTACCTAACCATTGGATCTGACGCGTTGCAACATTCAACTGGTCAATCAAATGGTCAATGACAGTTCGATTTCAAATCAAGTAAAATTATATCAATATTATTTCAGTTCTCAATACAATCAATGAATAATCCACGCACTTCTTATTCAATATATTCTCCAAACACTGCATTCTCAGCCGGTGTTCGTAATAAAAAACGTAATATAACGAAAGCAAACATATAGGTAATAAATCTCATACGGATACGTTTGAAGTTGTCTTAACCGTCTATTATTCTCTTCCGATATATTAATAGCCCCCCGACAGTCCCCCGCTCTCCCTCCCATCCACACCAGTATCAACACCGACCAGCCGCGCGAGACGGAACGCGAAAAGCTATCATGTCCATTTCTCCAATACCATAATTGTTTGAGTATTTGACTAGTTATTGATCTAGCTAACTAGACATCAAAGAGGACAATTTCTACATAATTTGCTGGCTGGTGATTGTGTGTTGGGGGTGGCGGGGTCAGTGACGGCGGAAGGCAGTCAAGTGGCACGGGCCCTGATAGAACCGGGCGACGCAGCATACTTGATAACTACCACGTTTGAAGTTGGTCATACGGGTTCGACATAAGTGGTATTAACAAAGTCGTGCAGATATTACCTGCTCGAGTATTGCTCAGTTATTATGGCTGTTATTCTCGCAGGGTTTGATGTATTTGTTGCAAGCTCTATTAAATATTTAGTTTAAATTTGTCAGATCCCCGTTTCGGTTGCTATCGTGCTACCCCCATCCCGAACCCCCACCCCACAATACGCTTATGAGGTCCGTACTGGACTCTAAGACTCTAATATTATCTTGTCAAATGAAATTGTTACTGTCTTCATAGCTAGTTCCTCTTTGAACTAGACGAGACGACATACCCTACTACACTGCTCTAGCCGATCAGTACAGGGTATACCTTCCCGTCGCAGCAAAACATAATACACTTGTTGAGTTTAGATAACAAATATACGCCATCTCTTTGAAGCACGTATTTAGCGTTTGTTATTAACACCTTTGTCCCGATATTATTCTTTGCTAAAAAGATGGAGCAATCTTCAACACGGGATGGCAGTTAATTTATATTTCAATGTTTCGTAACGTACAGGAACACAGATAGTTACGTGTCCAATGTAGTGACAATAACAGAAGCTCATATTGGAAGTTTTTAAAACTTTCTTGTGATTCTACCTCCGTAGCACAGATAGCCTTGTAAAATATGAAAATTACAGATAAAAATGTAGCCCCATTTCACATACTAATTTGAGGACTTAAATATTGAATTGTTCATGTAAAGAAAATATTATTGTAACTTGGATATAAATAACCTTTTATCGTTATAATGTTACTGCGAGGTTAGGTGAATGACTGTCTGTGTGAGGTATGTTATTTTACAGGGTGGCTGAAACCATTTTAGAAATAAATTACATTTACAAACAACTTACGTAAAACATAAAAGGAGAAAAAACTAGTAAATATGAAACTCAGATGCATACCTGACCACCGCCGTTCAGTTTATTTGTCAGCTTCACTTTGCTGAATGAGATGGGCTCCTTCATCCAGTGGGCACCGAAGTTTGGGGAGTCGGGGTGGATGTAGACACAGTTGGGAGCAGCAGGCTCGGCCTTACCCCCGGGCACCCAGTCCCCATTCACGTACTTCCATCTGTGGTTGTCCACCTGCACGAAGTCCAGCAGGAGGGTGTACATTGCATTAGGGTCCAGGCCGGTGATTGACGTTCTGAACACAGGGAACATCCGTCTGAAATAAGCAACATAATTTATCCTGAGACAATGTTCTTGACGGTTTCCTCAAAATTATTTTCATGTTTAGGGGAGTTATTTAAACTATCTAGTAAATATAGAATGAAGAAGATTGTTTACTTGATATAGATACTGCCGATGAAGTTCGCTTGGAGTAAATCGCTCTGGTAAAAGATGACATTACATAAAGTGTAACTAACAGCAAGAATTCAACTAAATGTTTAAATATCGCATGTGTTAATACCTTCTATGATGGGTTTCAGTTGAAAATTCGAATTTATTAGATAGGTAGAAATTAAATCGTAGAATCAAATTCTCAAAATTCGTCCGGGTGGATTGCTTGTATTTACAACGGGATCAACCTATAGCTAGAGCACACACGGAAGTCTCTGTGTCATATATATCGCGGGTTATTCCTCGACGTTGGAGAACCTATTTTCAGACTTATCGATCACCTAATATTTAGAATATAGGAGGCTGAGACGAGAAACGCGATGCGTATTCTTTTAATGTCTTTCACGTACAATGGTGAATGTTCCAGAACCTAGATTATCACCATTGTACGCTACGTTCTGGAACCGGGTTCCCATAAACCTGTGATCAATATTTCATTCGTTTATATGAGTACAGCTGTACCCTACCGCAGCGATAACGCTGACAGAAACACAATCGTATACAATGGTATACTTATATAATTAATATTTTTAAAATAATTCGTATCACGGGACGAACACGTCTGCTGTTGGACATAGCAAATACACTTGATCAAAAGAAATATTTAAATAATATTTAAAATAATCTACAATTTTGTTATATTTTCTTACAAGTATATGAAAATAACACAACACATTAGTAGCATTTTGTGGTCTAAGAGGCAAAGCAGAAATATTCTGTACAACAAAAAAAGAAACTACCCCAAGAAACGTTAGTATAGTACCAAGTAAATGGACACTGACATTATTTTTCGTTTCTGTTAAGTTTTAAAATAAGAATGATATTAGAAATGTGTATTTTGACATTTACAATATTTGTGGCATATATAGGATGCAGGCATTTCAAATAAAGCCAAGTACACGGTATTGGGTGAATAGTTTTAAAAGTAATACTTCATCCAGATTTAGATAACGACAGTGTGAGCTAGTTGTAATCTGTTCATTTTTATCTTTGGTCATTACTAATATTTATCCAGTTCGTTGGAAAAACGCGGAAGAAAACAGACATTCCCGCTTGTGTCATGTATATGCCACTGAATACTTGGTATATTGTTCAGCCATATTTTTTTTTAAAAAAACGTGAAACATAACAAAAGTAGAAATACATAACTGTCAGACAAGGGAATATTTAATTTAATGAAATAATTTTCGAGATTCGAAAATCGAAAAGATTTTTTTGTACTTTCTGTTATTATTATTATGTTTTGGTTACACAGTGTGCATTGTTTACTTTTACATGGATATCTACATATACAAATATTTCGCTAGTAACTCAGCCAAAATTGTTTGCCTTTAGAAACAGATTTTCCGAAAGTGTATATGATGTTGGGTTGCAGACAACCTACCATATTAAACATGGTAAATATCCGGGTAGTTACTATCGTTCTCGACAGTTTTTGAAAGTTGTTTAGTTATATCAAGTTCAGTTAAGTTTATAAATATAATATTTAGTTCATGAATATAATGAAATGTAATATACATGTAAGATACCCATAATACACCCGTAAGGTGCGTGCAATATACCGTGGTTTTAGATACCTTCTGTGGGACAAAACTGTCATATTATGCTTTTTAAAGTATAATATGAGTTAATACTCCATACAAACTAACATTTTCCACTGCTTGTCTATACTTCATAATCTTTCAACAATATCATCAAAACCAACCCTAACCATCCGTCCAGAAATGTGTCTATATATATAATATAAACCTGAAATCCGTTCATAAGTTTGTATAACTGACATTTAACTACACACTTGCAAATTACAAAAACCAATTCAAATTTTTAACAAACTACTTCAGTCACATTTGTTTAAAAAAATTTTTTCACTTTTGGGGATTTTGTTAGGTGTTTTGAAATTCTCCAATATATTATGGGTCAAGAGGGGTTGTAGTGGAAACAGTGACGTTGTGATGGCTGAGATACGTGAGGGTCCGTACTCACAACACTAATCACCCTGAGAAGGAAGTATCTAACTATTGACACTTCTTTATTTAGGCCCTACCGTATTTCCAGTCAACAAAATCTTAAAACTGCCTATGACTTTCATGGTCGGTCTTGCAGTCGGAATTTGTATGAAAAACAACGTGTTTACACAATATTTGGAACACTTGAGTGGAGAGGAATTTTCGTTTGTCATTAAGGACCTATATATTTAGTCGATTCGTAAAGCGTATGAGAATGTGGTATTTATTTGCCACACAAACTGTGTAATAAACCTAAAACGCATATAACGGAGTTGGTATTTGATAGATACTGTTTAGAATCGGTATAAGTATAGACAGGGTTGGAATGTGCGTAATGCATTACAAAACTCACCAAGAATCGGGTTACTGAAATACTTAGAAACAAGGAATGCAATAATTCTCAGATTCACCACTATAACAACTGATGGGATGGGGTGCGCTGACAGTTACTGCACCCTGGTAGTCGTGTGACATTAGGCGAAGAAAGAATGTCAGAATCACTCTATTCAAAGCCTCAGAATCAATTATTCCGATCTCCTTCAAGGAGTAAGATGGGTGCGTCTGACTAGCGTAGAGAGACCCTCTGTGGGTCTTCATCTCGCCTCTGGACCAGATGCTTACACCAGCCTGACGCCACTTGGTACTCTTGATCTATCTACATCATAATAAATAACACCTTAAGCAATAGAGCGCTGACAAGGATGGGGATTCGGTCTGCTGGACCCAGTCTCAGGACCCGGAGCCAAGGAACAGGGCTCATGCTATCTGGCATCGGAAATTGTCATCAATTTTAGGCATTGAGTTAGAAGATTGTATGGTATTGTCCAAGAGTGGCTTGGTATGTCGCCTAGTTGTGGTCGGTTTCAGTGACAGTATTTAACTAGCAAATGGAGTAAAGCGTTTGTCAACATGGCTATTCTGTCCCACCAGTGACCGCGGGTCCGATCGACGCTATTAGTGCTACGTGGTATGCCAGCGTTATGTCCACCACACCTTGCACCCACACACCTGACCACTGACTTCAAATAGATACTTATCCATAAAAACGTAATACTCGTTTATTTAAAAATAAAATTCAATCAAATTTTGCGGCCCTAGCTCCCGGTGCGATATGGTTTAAAGGGTCGCTGTACTATCAGCAGGGATTTCATTGATATAAGAAATGATCGTGTATTAGATACATGTAATTTAGCTGCTGGTGTATAAGATACAGGTAAATCACCTGTTGGTATATGATATATAATATACAGGTAATTCACCAAGCGTTATAACAGATAGAGGTAATTTCCATGATACTGTAGCAGATACGGGTAGTTTATCTGTCATAATTACAAATACAGGTTGTCATGACGTTATTATTGATACAGGTGACCCAATGTCATCCCGACCTCAAGATGATATTAACACGTAAGAGACACTGGTTATTGAAATCAACACTCCGGAGGCTTCTAGTCCGGGTATCCGAGTCCAGTGTTTGGTCCGAAGTCGGAGATATATCCAATGTGACCTACCTGCCGTTTTTCGTAACTATCATCTCGTTGGTAAACTCCTTGAATTTTCCCCACAGATCTTTATCCTCCAACTTGACGGAGAGCTGACGCTCCGTAGGGTCTCCTTTCTCACTCCCCACATTCATCTCCGTGTCCACAGCGTTGAGAAGATGGTTGATGTCGACTTGGGCCTTCATGTCGGCAGTGGGGGGTCCGGTAGGACTACACGTAGGGGCTGCGAGATCGCACGAGGGCGCTGAATCTAACATGAGCGATGCCTGATGGAGCTGAGCCTTGGTCTGAGTACTAGCCAGGGTGGAGAGTTACACTGTGAGCTGCTTGACGCTAAATGCTCGACTCAATGAGGTTACATTTGTTTACAAACTTGTAATTCAACTACGCACAAACCAGAGGAGGTCCTTATGTTACAACCCGCGGCCCGGCCAGCCAATCAGCGGCGAGAGGGGGCGTGTCCTCGGAGTCGCTGCCTCTCTCTGATTGGTCGCTCGTAGTGATTCAAGGTGATTGTCTGTGTAAACAGAAGAAAGATAATGAAAGAGGTGCAAGTGTATCGAAATCCCTAAGTGTCATGTGAGGATTGAGAACCTAGCGTTACTCACTAACCGTGTCACTGTCATGTCGGAGACCCCCGGACATTGGGACCAGGGGAACCGCACTCCCCTAGACGCGGGGATCGAACCCAGAACGTGTGAAAGCGCTCAATAAAAAGATCAAGTTTGAAAGTAAGCCCTTCGCATAATGTGCAATTGTGAGACATGAGGGACAGAGTGTTTGTTCAACTCTCCTCTCTGGTCAAGTAATAAGATTAGACCGGCTTAGAGAGCGGGGGAGATGGCCCTACCGCGGAACGAGCTTCCTCTCCCCTTGCCCATACTGTTACAACCCTCATACTCACTGCACACACTGTAACCAACGAAATATTCAACACTCTTCTGTCAAGAAAGCTTAAAAAACTGGCAAATTAGATACTTCGTAAAAGAAAAAACTTTTCCAAGATTTAACAATTAGTCACTGTACGCTCCAAATATACGGTTTTAAAACCGTTAAAACTTTCACGCTTTTCCTACAAGTTAACGTGTGTCTCTAGTATCGCAGGATTATTTCCTTCAATAATGGTTTGATTTAGAACGAATACGTGAATGTATTCATGGGCTGCATTGGTTTTACGATTTTTAGAATAAAAGTTAAACATCAACATTCTAAAATTGCGGTCGTGCTTGAAGAAAAATGCAATGAACCTTTTCTTGTTTGTAAATATAGTTTTAAGGTAAAATAAAATAATCAAACAAATCTGTTTTATTTGAGACAGACAGGCCATTTATTTTTGCCAATTTTGTTTTATGTGAGTTTTTAAGGTAAAATTAAATAATCAAACGAATTTGATCAGACACATATAATTTATTGTTGAAAGGCTCGACCTGGGTTGGGCGACAGTGACGGAAGCACTACTCATATAGTTGATCAGATCATGGCGCCAATTGCTTTTATCACAATCAAAACATGTCGACTCAATACATGTAGCATGCCCCGCGTCCGTCTCCAACGTGGGCAAAATTGACCGGGCAACCGACTGCTGGCGGCTCATTCTGATTGTTAAAACAATAAGATAAAATAACTTTATTCAATTAAAAGCTCGGTTAAATTAATCAACAATGCCATTTTTCTTTTTGGGCAAAATGTAACAATTACAATCAATTAATCTCGCAAGTGCTTTAAAGCCGCGCGTGGGATCATAACTTTTGTTCGGGAAATCTTTGATTGTGTAGCTAAAAATCTCACCCCCTTATCATATTGTTCTGCGTGTAGCCTGTATGGGGTCAGTCTGGACAGTTCAGGAAACAGTCAATCAAATAAATGATGACAAGAAAAGGAAAAGTTTTAAAACTTTGACGATTATGATACCATAATGTTCATTTCACTAGGTGCACTTGTTTTAAGACTACACAGTTTCATATGTACAGCACCGACGACATTCTCAATGTTCCCGTGCGGTATTTGGCGTTGATATGGAAAGTTATACATTCCGTGCCTGCTAAACCGAACAGCTGGAGACAGCGTGATCTTTATGTATAATGTTTTTGTTTGATTGGTAAGTTATGTTGGTGATCATATGTTTCCATAGAGACCCAAGTGCTCAGCGTCTAGTTAATAAATAGTAAAAAGTAAACAGAAAAATAAATAAGTCAAATAAAGGTATAGTATTTCCTAAGTTTTCCAGAGTTAACCCACATCAAAAGCTTACTTTGCAGGAGAATTATGTCATGGAATTATCAAACGAGAAGTCCAGGGTATATAATAGGCAAGATGAATATTACAATTTGTAGATTTGTACATTCTAATTTATGGGGATATATGAATAATATGGCAAAACAAAATATTTAAAAATTATGTCTTAACCTTAAATCATATTTACGGATTTCCACATTGGAAGAACGCGTTTTTTTCAATAACCTCAATAAGTATGACGTCTAATAAGTTTTTATAAAGTTGGGAAGGTGTTTTGCTTGAAAATCGACAGTATCTGTATTGAAATCTGTCCTGCTTATTGCTGCAAATGATTTCGTACACGAATAAATTTTTCATGTGAATGATTTCATCATGTGGCTTATTTTCCAAAGCGAAGATCACTTAAAATTGACATTAACATTGTATCTCACTTTTAATCTATTGTTTCGCTTCATAATAATCTGATTATTTATAATGCAAAAATGTTATATATAGATTTACATTTTTTCCCTTACAACTTTTGAAACTTGTTAGCAAGTTTGTTATCACATAACATAGATTGACATTTATTGTTATCTTTGTATCCTGGAGCGGTCCTATCCATAGGTTATTACCTGTTCAGTTAATATATTTTTGTGAAACAAATATGATTTGATCATGTATAGATGCGCTATCAATACAAAATTAAAGAGTTCGATATAATTGAGTATGATATATACTAAGTCTTCTTCAAAGGAATGTTTACACTCAAGTGTCTGAAAGGCCATTAAAACACGGTTATTCCACGATGATGTCTGTGACATACAGTAGGCATTACAATTCTGTTATGAATCTGCAGTGTGTCGGGAACTGTTGTCATCCTTGCAAAGCGTTGAGAACGTTTTCAGTTTCCAGCCTATGCCTTCCTCTTTCCTTGACGTTGAGCAAAGAATAAAGATTTCCGTTGTTAAATATGTTATGAATTCACACATAAAGAACGAGATTCAACCCTGAACAGTTTTCGATTTTGGATGCATCGAAATTTGAGCATTTCGAAAACAAAAAGTAGCATTAAAACTTGTTGTTTCATAAATTAAATTGTGCTGACAACTATAGACTCGATATATACACTGTACATATGCAAACTTGTATTCACATGTCGGATATAACTATTGAAGTCGCTACTGGAGTCCCATAGCTGGCTAGGTGTGGCCAAGTCTCGCGCTCATCAATTCTTCCAGTAAACTGATGGTAAAGCACATAGAAGGCATTATGAATCAACAGGATGCTTCTCATAGGCTTATCCAGAGGGGTGGGGGTGGGGGTGTGTGCAGGGGTGCGCATCTCCCTTTTGCCCTGAAAGTTTATTAAATGACCATTGAAACTCGGGTGGAAATGAAGTGTGCACCCTCCTTTTCTCAATAGTGTGCACCTCCCCTTTCTCAAAAAGCTGTATCAGCCATTGCTTCTCCCCTCCCCCACACACACCGATGTACAATGCGAAATTAATTTTAAAAAACTAGTTTACTTGATGAGCGAGTTTCTTTTTCAGTTTGAATTAACAAAGGCAGAGTGTTCATGAAAATATCAGAATATCATCCGTCAAAGTGCATTTCAATTGTCAATACTTAGTGCAATAAATCACTTTACAAAATTCACAATTAATCCTGAAATGTCAATAACCCTTTAGCACGTAAACACAGCGAGTCATTGATAAGTTTACAAAGTGAAAGTAGGGTGTTTGAAGGTGTTATGGACAGTCGTCGTAATTTCCCGCATAGTAAACATTCATAAAACGACTTTGAACAAACACACGTCATAAATCAGTTCCGGGTGGAACGCGTTAGTCGATTAGCCTCAGTTAATAAAACACGGTAATTATTGCAGTGTAATGTCAGTACATCCGTTCTTCATCTCTCTCCCCCTTCCCCAACCGGTAAGCACTTGTCGGGTAGGGAATGTGATACCCCTGTCGCTTCCGCCCCTCCCCTCCAGTTTACAGGATGGTTGAGCATATGGGGTAATCAAGACCCAAAGCTTATAACACTATCTTCTCAGCCGCGAACAGTTTAATTAGCGATTTACGCTAATTGGGGTCAGTAAATTGTTTGGCAATTTACATCAACATATGCCGGTTTGTGTATATTCCCGAACAAGTGCTTGACAGCGGTGAGGCATGGTGCAGTGTAATTGCCATATTGTATCCGATTAACACTGTCAGTACCAATCAGATTAACACTGATAGAATCTCCATTGGAGAGGTCTGTTAGCACGTTACAGGTGTTTTAGAAATAATTTATTTATATATTATAATTTAACCTCATCTGGAGACCCAAATATGACATGAGACTAGTATATGATTTAGAAATATCTTTCTAAAAATATATGAATACATGACACGTGTTATGGATAACAACTGCTTGTATTCTTTATTCAGAGCTATTTCTTGCTCTTTCATCAGGACATTGATACGCGAATTGATTGACGGCCAGTGTATGTACACGAAGACAGATTCCATTAATATGTAATACATCATATGTAATATGTACAATACAATGTTGTACTGTATTAACAATTTTATTTCACCAGTTGTACATGTGACCATCATGGCACAGCTTCTTTCCTCTCTTGGAGGAACAACAACTTAAATAAGATGATCAAAGCTCACCCTAACCCTAAATAAGTGTTTATATAAGTATTTATATAATAACTGTTACTCTTTTCGTGTTACTTTTTTTCCGTTACTTTTTTTCCTGTTTCGTTTCCTGTTACTTTTTTTCTACATTCGATTTATCAAAACCTGGTTGTTCTAGAAAAAAAGGTTTGAGTTAAAATTAAATAGTTTAAATTTCAGGTATTATCGAAATTGAAAATACCTAATGCACGTGACAAAATAGCATTCTTCCGAACTTGAAATACAAAATGGTGATAACATCACTTTTACGTTAAAGGATCAATTTGTAATTGTCAAACTAACCGAAATCAAATGAACAACCATCCTATACATTTACGTTACTAGTCTAATTGTATTAAGACATATTGCCACATATTTTAAATGCGTTTCGGTTTTGTTCCATGAAATACTTCGAAAAACACAATATAAAATATGTGTGAATAAACCAAACTGATCATTC